TGTTTTGGTGTTTATAGATGATATTAGTCATTGGTACTTTATTGAAAGCTATTGAGGATGTTGTTCGGCTGTTGGGTACAAAATTCTTGCTCAAAGATCTTGGTGAATTAAGCTACTTCTTCGGCATTGAAGTTTAACGTATGCCAGGACAGCTGATTCTGCAACAACATAAGTTAATTAAAGAGTTATTGGAGAAGATGAAGAAGAGTAATGCAAAACCAACTCATACACCCATGATTTTTTCACCCAAACTTACTCATAGTGCTGGTAAACCTCTTGAAGCCTTACATGTATAGAAGTGTTGTGTGAGCTTTGTTGTATCTAAGTCACTCTAGGTCCAATGTGGCGTTTAGTGTCAACCGAGTTGCACAATATATGCATCGTCCAGGTGAACTGCACTGGGTGGTCGTTAAACAAATTTTACGCTACTTGAATGGTACTCTTGATTATGGTTTGGTGTTCAACGCCTCCAATGCTACACCAAATGTTGTTGCTTTTTTGGATGCCAATTAGGTAAGTAATGTTGATGATAGTCGCTCGATTAATGGTAATTGTGTGTTTTTGGATGATAACCTTTTTTCGTGGAGTTCTAGACAACAAAAGTCTATTTCTCGCTCTGCGACAGAAGTTGAATATCATATTATTGCTAACGTAGTTTCTGAAGTTGTTTGGTTGAGGACATTACTAACTGAGCTAGGACTAAAGGAGGCCGATGTTCCAGTTGTATGGTGTGATAACACCAGTGCCATAGCAATAAGCACCAAGCCCATTTTTCATGCTCGCTACAAGCACGTTGAATTAGATATGTACTTTGTAAGGGAGAAGGTCACTGATGGTTCGTTTCATGTTAGCTACGCTCCAACTTCTCACCAGACGACTGAAGGAGAGGAAACGAGAAAAATAACGAGGATGTTGAAGGATAAGTTGCTCAGCAATATATTGCAACTGACGTCATTTGTTGTTGAAATAGAGGTTGAGGTTGTTACTGCTCCTAGATCAGCTGATGTAAGGTCACATGCATTTTGTGATAGTTGAGCTAGCCACTATAAAAAGGCTGCTCATTTCTTAATAAAAGTGATATAAAAGTTTTCTAAGCTATAATGCTTCTCCTCTTAATCTGTTTCTTTCTTCTTTATAAGCAACTATTAACCCTATTTATTTTAACATACATATATATTTATTCATATATTCTTTCTTCGGTGAATGCAAAGAGGTGACTGTATTCTGACCTAATTTCTTTTTTAATAAACTGACATGGAATAAGGGGTGGATTTTTGAATTCTTAGGTAAATCCTATCTGTAAGCTACTAACTCAATTTTTTCAAAGACCTTACAGGGACCATAATACCTAGAAGAAAGCTTCAAGTTCCTTTGCAGTGCAACGGATGTCTGCCTATACGGTTGCAATTTAAGGTAGACTTCGTCTCCAATCTGAAATTATTATTCTGTTATGTTCTTATCTACATATTGTTCCATCCGATTTTGTTCTTTAGTTAGGTGGTCGTGTAGTGCTTTATTAATTTACTCACGAGCCTGTATGATATCCTGCACACTGTTAACTTGTGATGGTTCTGCCCAACTTAGCATAGGGGGTTTATACCCATAGAGTGCCTCAAAGGATGTTGTTCCCAGTACAGTGTGGTAATTGGTATTATACCACCACTCTGCCTGGGAAAGCCACCGTGCCCAACTTGTAGGTTTTTGAAAGTAGAAGCTTCATAAGTACTGCTCCAAACACTTGTTCAAATGCTCTGTTTGACCATCTGTCTTAGGGTGATAGGATTTGCTAAAAATGTAGTGGCGCCAAGTTGTTTCATAAGTTCCTTCCAGAATAGGCTAGTAAAGGTTTTGTTTCTGTCTGAAATGGCTACCTGTGGGTGTCCATGTAGTTTATAGACCTGGGTTTGACCACTGCTGTATATGGGTGAGACAACCCCATAAAATGACCATACTTAGTAAATTTTTCAATGACCACCAGTATGAAATTATACTTCATTGAGGTAGGTAATCACCCTATGAAATCCATGGTAATGACCTGTCAAGTTTGTTTAGGAATAGGTAAAGGTTGTAAGAGTCCTGATTTGTGTACATGCTCCTCTTTAACTCTTTGATAAAATGTCAATGAATGACCTCCTTGAGGGGAGTCATGAACTTTCTCAATAAGCTGCTTCCTTAGGTCACCCGGACTTCACACGTAACTGTTTCCTTTGTAACCTTTAATATAAGTCCAATCCTCCCACGACTGTGGAGTGATTGCTAGAGTTGGAATAATTTTTTGAGCCAAGTTGTCATTGAGGTAGCTTTCCTCAATGTCTTTAATCCACTAAGGTATTATTACCATTGTTGAAATCTGTAAAAAATTTGATTGCTCCTCATAACTCCTAGACAAAGGATCAGTCACTCTGTTATGTTTTCCCTTCCTTTACTGGATGATATAATCAAGTCCCAGCAGCTTAGTTAGTCCTCTTTTTTGTATCACAATAGTCATCTTCTGTTCCAGTAAGTGTTGTAACGGTTCATGATCTGTTTTGATCACAAAGGTTCTGTTCTCTAGGTAGTGTCTCCACTTTGTGACTGCCATTAGTATTGCTAGTTACTAATTCTCATAGATGGATAAATCTACGTGTGTTGGCCTCAAAGCTTTACTATGGTATGCAACAGGTCTGCCTTGTTGTGAGAGGACAACTCCAATTCCCCTTGAGCTGGCATTTGTTTCCAAAACAAATTCATTAGAAAAAATAGGTAAAGCTAAAACAAGGGCCTTACACATGGCTTCCTTATGTAACAAAAAAGCTTGTTTGGCCTCCTCTATCCACTAGAATTTTTCTTTTTTAAGCATATTTTTTAAGGGTTTACTAATTTCCCCATAACCCTTAATAAATTTCCTATAGTATCCTGTTAATCCCAAAAATCCTCTCAAGGATTTAAGATTATTAGGCAGCTTCCATTTCTGCATGGCCTTTATTTTGGCAGGATCTGTTGCTACACTATCATCTGATTTGGTGTGCTAAGTATTCCACCTTTGGTTCCCCAAAAAAACATTTTTCCTTCTAGCATTTAATTGGTGTTGCTGCAGTACCTGTAGGACTACCTGTAAATGTTTGACTATAAATAAGAATATCATCAAAGAAAACAAAAATAAATTTTCTTAAGTAGGGACCAAAAACATCATTCATTAAGGCTTGGAAGGTGGCTGGGGTATTAGTAAACCCAAAGGGCATCACTTTAAACTCATAATGTCCATGGTGAGTTCTAAATGTTGTTTTAGGTAATCTTCTTCCTTACTTCTTATTTGTCAATACTCAGATCTAAGATCTATCTTAGAATAGTATTGAGATCCTGTCGATTCATCCAATAAGTTTTCTACAATGGGTATAGGAAAGAAGCAAAATGACTTTTACTGTTTTGAATTATATAGGCGTTATATGTGGGGTTTTTTGCCATCTTGCTTACTCTGATTATTTTGGTTGTGAACTTGCAGGTGATGGTTCCCCGATGTAGGTTGCCTTGGACACAAGTTCCAAGATTCTCTGCACATACCTTGGGTTTCTTCGGTTCTTGATTCCAGCGCAGACATTCTTTTCTCCTGTGCTTTTGCCATCTTGCTTACTCTGATTATTTTGGTTGTGAACTTGCAGGTGATGGTTCCCCGATGTAGGTTGCCTTGGACACAAGTTCCAAGATTCTCTGCACATACCTTGGGTTTCTTCGGTTCTTGATTCCAGCGCAGACATTCTTTTCTCCTGTGCATCTTTCTGTGTTGCCCACTAAGTTGGTAATTCCTCTTTTGTTTCTTCTTTTTCAATATTGTCTGCTGGAGGATCTTACACAATTGTCGAGTCATGACTTCCATTGTCCTTTCTCGACATTTTCTTGTTTTATCTTGTTGGATCAAAGATTGGCTCCAAATACCAATCGTAATAGTCGTTCGTAAAGAAGAGAAGATTTCAGGAGAAGAAGAAGCAAGATTATAGGATTTAGTTCGGTAATTCTGTTTTTCATACAATCTTAGTACAATGACCTTTCTTTTATACAATAAGTTGCCAACTCTTAACAAAAGCATGCCATCAGGAATGACAATCATACAGCCCAATTGGGTCTTAGCTACCAATCAATGACAAACGCCCCCATTTCATTAAAGTAATCCGACGTTGTTCCCCAACTCTTTCCCCTACTTCGATTACACCCCTAGCCTCAGCAGAATCCCAAATTGAATCATAATTTTCTAATTCAATCGAATCATAAATCCCTAATTTTTCTCCTTTCGCCTGAACCCTAATTCACTTCATTAGTCTTGATATCGGCTCAAATTTAAAAATCAGTCTATTAATTACTTGAACTTTTAAGTTATTTGAGTTATATTTTATAACTCGATTGAAATTTTAAATTTTTTCAAATCGACTCAAGTAAAAAAAATCAATTTTAAAAATTCAAATTTTTTTACTAAAACTTACAAGACTGTTTTTTTAATAAAATACAGCTGGCTCATAATTTTATTAATTTCTCTCGTCTATGCTTGCTTTAAACGAAGCTACAATTGGCTCATATTTTCTTAATTTCTATCCTTCTATTTGGCTCATAATTTATTAATTTCTCTGATTATTTTCTCAAATCCAGACATGTATCATTTGTATATTATGTTGAAGGGCATGTTGAAAACAAGAAAATGATACAAAATTGTAAAGAACATTGGGTTTTCCTTTACAGTTTCTTATTGTTTTGATTAAATTTTTGTTATCCGATACAGTCTTCTTTCTTCTTCCACTGTTTTCAATCTCCGAGATCTTTCACAGGTAATTTTTTCTCTTCTTTGTGCATTAGAACTGTGTGAAATTGAAGTTATCAACTCAATTTAATTTGAGTATGAATCAGTGAGTCAGTATAGATTTTAACTCCCCATTTCAAGCTTCTTTTATTTATATAAACTGCTGGAAGGTTGCATTCATGTTTCCTTTTCATACCTACAGTCATATCTTTCGATAATAAGTATATGGTTGCAGGCACAAATTAATGGAGTGCGTCGAGCCTGCAGTTGCAGTTACAGGTTGTCTCGGAACTCCAATTTGTAAGTATTTACAATATCACCGAAAGCTCAATGATTATGTTAGAAACTTCAAACGAACCAGAGATGAATTGAATAGCAAAATGAAAGATATAGAGCTGCAATTGAAAGCAGAGCTTCTTCATAAGGGGAAGGTACCAAAAGAGGGAGTTAAAAATTGGTTGGAAAATCTGAAAGCAATGATTGGAGAAGCTCAAGATGTTGAAACTAAAGTCAGTAATGGCAGATGCTTTTCTCGTGCTTGCAATGGAAAGTTGGTTGATGAAGAGACTAAAGAAATGCGGACATTCCTTGATAAAGCTCCTAATGCCTCTGAAAAACTTTTCATCGATGGTCCAAAGGTTGGGTTGCCTCTGCCAACATCTGAACTAGTTGGTGAAAAATCTATGAGAGATGAAATTTGGCGATGTTTGATGCAAGAGGAAGTGAGCATGATTGGAGTATGGGGAATGGGCGGTGTCGGTAAAACCACCATCATGAAGAACATCTACAATGATCTTTTGAAAGAAAATAGAATTGATAAAGTAATTTGGGTTACTATATCAAAGGAGTTCAATATTATAAAGTTACAAGATGATATTGCAAGTGCATTGAATTTGAAAGAAAATTTGGCCAAAGAAGGAGATGAGGTTAGACGAGCTGCAATCTTATCAGAAATGTTAAAGAAAACAGGAAAGTATGTTCTAATCTTAGATGATGTGTGGGATAGATTCTGTCTAGAGGAAGTTGGGATCCCTGAGTCAAGTAGTAGCAATGGATGGAAGTTGGTGTTGACAACTCGTTCGGTGCATGTCTGTAAACGTATGGGCTGTAAGGATATACTAGCGATACCCCTTTCAGAAGAAGAGGCATTGATACTATTCTTGAATAAAGTTGGGCCTAACATAGTGCAAAGTGCAAGTATAATGCCAATTTTGAAGCTTGTTGTCAATGAATGTGCTTGTCTGCCCCTCACAATTGTTGTGGTAGCCGGTACCCTAAAAGGAGAAGATGATCCTTGTATTTGGAGAAATGCTCTCAAGGAATTGAAAGAGCGAATAGGGATGATTGAAGGAGCGGAAGCTGAAGTGATTGAGCGCTTGAAATTTAGTTTCGATCACATAAAAGATGAGAAAGTTAAACGATGCTTCTTGTATTGTGCATTATATCCTGAAGATTTCAAAATCGAGAAGGATGATCTAATCGAATGTTGGATTGATGAGGGATTCATAGAAGAAATGGACAAGAAAAGAAATGAAAGACATGGGCTATGTCTATTTGAGAAAGTTGGAAGGAAACTGTTTGTTAGAAAATGCTATCAAACAATTCAGTCGGCCTTGTGTGAAGATGCATGATGCAGTGAGAGACATGGCATTGTCCATAACAAACAAGGATCGTCCATATATTATACAAGCAGGCCTACAATTAAAAAGGTTACCAAAAGATGAAGAATGGAAGGCAGGTGTTGAGAAAGTATCGCTTATAGAAAACTCCAGAATACAGATTTCCGAAGATATGTCGCCTCCAAATTCTCAACTACTTGCAACCTTGTTACTGCAACAGAATCCTATGGAGAAGATCTCAAATGCTTTCTTTGTAAACATGTTCTGTCCAAGTGTTCTTAATCTGTTCTGGACGAAAAACGAGTATCTACCGGATACCGTCTATGAACTAAAGAATCTCACATCTGTTGCTTCATGGCAGTGAAAGATTAAGACATTTGCCTTGCCTTTCAAAGCTTCAAAGATTGAAGAAGTTGGATCTTAATTGGACTAGAATTGAGGAAATAGCAGGCGGCATGGATATGTTAATAAATCTAAGTAATCTTGATCTTGAAGTGTTCTATTTAAAATATATTCCCAATGGAATTTTATCAAAACTCTCTAGCCTTCAAGACTTGAAAATAGTTTTACACAAAGCAAAGGCATGTCCAGAGGAAATAATGACACTAGAGAATTTGGAATGCTTTGAAGGGTATTTTGAAGACATGCATGAACTAAACAAGTTCTTCTCATCCATGCAGAAATCTAAGAGAAAACTCATCACGTACAGATTACAGGTGGGCTCACGTCTTTCAAATTTTGAGTTCGAGAGAGCTGATAAAAATGTAATAATCAACACAATCAAATATAGTGATGGTAAGTTAATTATGCTCCCCTCTGATGTTCAAGACGTTGATATTTCTCGCTCACACCATTTGAGAAGCTTAAACGATGGTATTCCATCCTTCAAAAATGCAAATGATTTGAGGGTTTGTAGAATAGGGGATTGCAAAGAGATGGAGTGTGTTGTTTCCTTCTCTTCTTCTCAACCATTTCAAAGCCTTGAAAAGTTGTATCTCTGTACACTGCTAAAGTTGAAGGAAGTTATCAAAATTGAAAGCTTTGGGTTAGCAACAATGGCTTCATCTTCCACCTTTTCATGTCTTAAAGTTATTTATATGTTCTGTTGCTCCAGTATGAAGACCTTGCTTCCGCATTGGTTGCTCCCCAATCTCCGAAACCTAGAAGAAATTCGGCTGTATGAATGTAATCAACTAACAGAAATATTCGGCTGTATGCATATGTATAGAGCTATACGAATAGTCAAGATACTTCATTGCTAGGAGATATCAAGTAACTTATTTCTATTATTACTTGATGCTAGGAGATGTTGTATATCTTATTACCATTGATATGACTGTATGGTAAGTTATAGAGCCATGGATTAGTTGGTGATTGAAGATACTCTTGAGTATCTGGTAGCATTCAGATGAATGTCGTTAAGCATGAAATGCATGGAGTGATAATATTGTGAAATATGATACTCCCTACACTTCAGAAAATATCGATAATTAATTAGGAAAGATATATGTTATACTTATACATATGCATCTATGTTTATATTTGACTTGCATAATTACATTTATGAATCTTATGAAATATAGTAGAATAGATGTATCGATGAACGTCGTAAGTTGAGTGTTTAAATTGTTTTTGTTTATGGATTATAGATTTTATGGTTCACGATGAGATAACAAAATCATCATTGGAGTTGGGAATTTCAGTAGATTCACTCAAATACAACAAATGATTATATTTCCGTATGAGTTGCCGTGGATTATTAGAAAAGTTGAAATCACAAATAATAACAAATTAGACATTTCAGGGTCTGATGCAACTCAAAAAACTTTGCCCAGTACTGTTCTCGCACTTGGACAAGCTGACTGACATTCCAGAAAATATGAAAAAAAAAAAAAATCAACCATAGAAGGAAGAAACCAAAATTTCAACAAATGCGTTTTCTTCTACGCTAAAAGATGGAGCAATGAAAAGGAAAGTTAGCTTACAAATTGCATTGCAGCACTTTTAGCCACTCAAATCTCTCATGTCTCGGGCGTCAGGGAAAAAAAACAAAATGTATAGAACCACAAATGAATCTTTCAGATATGGTCCACCTCGTAATACCATTTAAATTACGGGTGCGGTTTTGTTTTAGATTATATCGTATTTATTGCAAGCTAACATAACGGATATCATTGCAGTGATGAATCTTTTTAAAAGAATTGTTTTTTTTTAAATTAGTTGATCTTTTTTTTGAAAAAATAGAATAAAGGACCAAATGTAACCCCCGACCCGGTCTGTAAGTTAGACTCAAACCTAAGTGATCACATATCCCATTCAGAGGTTTTTTTTTATATAACTTATAGAACATTAAATATAGTACATAACAAAATATTAATAATACAGATATGTCCAAAACGATATCAAATACATGTCACCAAACATAACTGAAAAAACATATAGAAATATATGTTCGTACAAATAAGTAGTTGATCTCCCCTGATGCCAAATCTGCTAGCTTACGGTCTGCTGTTATCTGAAAAAGTTAAAAACTATAGAATGAGCTAAAAAGCTCAGTGTGCTCCAAACAGTGCATAAAAACATACGAATAAAATATTCCAATAAAATCGGTTATCAACCTAGAACCATACACCCCACCTGCACACCAATAAGACTTACCCTAAGCACAAGCAGGAGTCTGCAGTATACTCCCATCCAGTCACTCATCACTACAATGTGTAGGTTCCCAGAACCATACACCCCTGCACACCAGTAAGACTTACCCTAGCAACAGCAAAGAGTCTGAATACTTTCCTTAATAAATCCCAGTAACAGAAATAAACATGTATGTTTAGGTGAAATAAATATTAATTCTTAAATATGAAATGGTTCATGCTTATAAATCATATGCAGAAATTACATAAACCATACATCAGATCAATATCCGGTAAATCAGGGTCGGTAACCAGTATTCAAAACATGTATCATGTTGTAATAATAGTAAACATCATCAAATTTGAAATCATTTATATGATAGTTTAAACAGTAAGATACCACCGTCAGTAACAAACTGTAACAGTCTGAGAATCAGATAGGAAGCTATTACTGGGTCTGTCGATTACGCTCTGCTACAGCGCTAGATCCTACGAATTAGAAAAATCCATTTGAATTCTACTAAATAATCTTAATCTTATTTAAAAATACGGAAACCTACGGGTATTCTTGTAATACGCGGTTCGGACTGATCTGACGAACGAATAACACCGGACCTAACTGATCCTTGCTCAGGTGAAACACGAGTACCTTCATAAAATATTTTATTGAATCAATTCCTTAACCAAAACTCTTAAAAATAATCAAAATATTAAGATACTAAGCCTTTTTGGGTTCACATGCTCGATTTCGGAATTTCGGGTCAGAATTTGGCAAAACGGACTTTGGAATCAAATTCAGGACGTCGAAAACCATAAAGTATAACCTTCCGAAATTTCAAATTCTTGGTCAAAATCAAAGTCAACGGGTTTGACTGACGATTTGGAGACTTTCGGGTTTGAATTTGGTGAAACGGACCCCAAAAAAGGATTCGGGACGTCAAAAATTGTCAGGATAGATATTTTTGGAAAAGATTAACGATCGTTTAATAGCCGGTCAAAGTCGGTCAAAGTTCTGGTCAAAGGAGGTCAACAAGTTGTCAAACATTTTACATAAATAGCACCTTTTTTTTAAATAATAACCATAATAGCACCCTTTTTCAAATTAATTACCAAAATAGCATCTTTTTGAATTAATTCCCAAAATAACATCATTTCGAATTAATTCCCAGAATGTCACCCTTTTCCAAAAAAAATACCAAAATAGCACCTATTTCGAATTAATTTCTCGAATAGCACCAAAATCAAATTAATTCACAGAATATCATCGGTTAACGGTCAACGGTCGGGTCGGGTCGGGTCGGACCGGTTCAGACCGGTCAAACCGGTCAAAACCGGTTAAACTGGTTTTCCAGTTATGCTCTCGCCCTGCGGCGGCGCGTGTGGCGCGTTGGACCTCCTCCGGGGCTCTAAAAATTATTTTGAGCGATTTCGAGATACTTACAAAGATCGGTTCAAATTTTTGAACGGCGGAGAGCTCGATTCACAAATCGAAATTTAACCGCTTCACCTCCCCACGCGCCACCGTCGACAGAGACAGAGGATGACACCGGCGGACTCGGAACGGCACAAGGAACACGATGGTGCAGGAGGTGTCGTAAACGGAGCAACGATCGACGATGAATTTATGATTTTCTAGGCGATTGAGCTAAAAAAACGTCGATGCTTTGACTTGAAATTCACGGCGTTTGGCAGCGTTTCGCTTCAATTAATTTAAGGTGGTTGTTCCTGACTGGATAACGAACACGATGGTACTTTCAAAACGGCGATCGGAATTCGGATGGCGTCGGGATCGTCGTCGGAAGTTGAGGTTGGGAGAGGGAATTTGGGAGGAATTGGTTTCTGATTTCCAGAAACCAACTCCCGTAATATACACCAAACTTACCTATTTTTTTTGGACAAATTCCAGGCTTGGTCCCTAAATTTTCTTTAACTCTAAAACAAGCTACAAGTTTAAAATCTTTCATTTAGTCCCTAAAAATTTACAAATTTTCACAATTAAAACCAATTCCCAATTAAATTATTTTGAAATTTTCGGGTTGTTACAATTCCCCCCTCTACAAGAAATTTCGTCCTTAGAATTTACCTTATGAAAACAGATGAGGAAATTGAACCTCCATGACTCCAATGTCTCCAAGTAGCTTCTGAGGGCTACGATTACTCCACTGAACTTTGACCATTGGAATACGCCTATTCCGAAGAACTCGCTCATCCTTTCTAAACCTGAACAGGTTCCTCCTCATAAGACAATCAGGTCTCAGCTCTACCTCATCAATCTGATGATGTGATATGGATCTGGACGGTATCGCCTCACATAGATACATGAAAACATCATGAATACGACTGAGCTGGAAGGCAACTCAAGCTGATAAGCAACAGGTCCAACTTCTTCAGAATACGATACGGCCCAATAAATCGCGGACTCAGTTTACCTTACGTCCAAATCTCATACTTTCTTCCATGTAGATACCTTGAGAAAACCTGATCTCCAACCTCAA